TTCAGCAGGGGTTTAGGTGTTGGGCAGAAAATTCATCTTTCCCTGTTCTCACTCCAGGCCATTACCTCTCCACTTCCCCCTAAATTCTGTCTCAGTACCTGTTACTGCAAAGGACTCAGCCGGTGATTCCAATCATGCAGCAGGTGAGGACCACAAGGAGAGTCCAAATGGTGGATGTGACGGTCGTGGCCTTGGAATGGGCTGTGGCTGGGGCCGTGGTTGGTGGGTCTGCGATGGAAACACAAGAGTGACCGCCATTATCCATCCCCCCAACCTAAGGAGATGCCTCCCCGCTCCCGCTGCCCAGCTAAGCCTACGATGCAGATAGTGCCTCATCTGCAAATGGCAGCTGCTGGGACAGGTCCTGAGGTAGACAGAAAGAGAAGGGATATGTCCTGTCCTCCAGGGGCTCCCACAGCTAATGGGGGAAGCAAGGGTCCCAGTGTAACCAATCGCTGCTGCCATGACGGAAGAGGAGGTGACACGTGACGAGGCAGGTAGAGAAGTCCTCTCAGGAGCTGACGTTGGGAGGGGTTCGAAGAACCTCCAGAAGTAGACCAAGTGAGACCAAGAAAAAGAAAAGTGATGCTAAGAAGAAGGAACGTCACAAAAAAATACTTCTGGAAGCAGAATGCGGCCCTCCTGTTTGGGACCGTGAAATCCACGGGGAGTGGTGCAGAGGCCTGGACAGTGACACAGAGGTGGAGGACGTGAGGAGGGAGAGGAAGGGTGACAGAACACGGCTGTGGCCAGTACGGTCTCAGGAACTCACCGCAGATGGAAAACTTCAAACCACACACGCACATGCGCACACGCACTCACACACGTGTAAATTAACGTCGCCTCAAAAGAACCCCCACTTTGTCGCCATCCTCTCAGCTACCTCTTGTCTCTGCCGTCCTCTCAGCTGCCTCTTGTCTCAAGACGTTAAGCCACTTGCTGCAGTCTCCCTCGGAGATCGTTTTGAAGGCCTTGGTCACGTCCTGGTTGGGCTTCCACTTGTTCTTCATCCGTTCACCTCCAGAATGAACCACTGTGTACTCCGTGTTCTCAGCGTCAAAGATAAGCAACTTCTGTCCATTGAATGCAAACTCCCAGGATCCGCTGGGGCGTCCACGGGCTTCCCGCTGACACATCATCCTGACCTGCAGGGTGAGAGGAACTACCCCACACCCCGTTGGAAAGAGGTCTCTCTGTGATCTTGACGAACCCTCTGCCCCGCCCGGTGTCCCCCTCCTCTGCACTCTGCTAATCTGGCCTTGTTCTCCTGACTCTTCTGCTGGGCTAATTGGGAAGAACCGACATCACTTTCCTCTTCCACACGGATACAATAAATGCCCCTGCGCCCACCATCCGCTCCCTCCTGCCCTTAGACTTTCTAACTTACCGCTGTCTGTGTTTTGCTCCGGTTTAATGTCAGGCAGTTCCTGTTTGAGCAAGTCCCCCACGTCCTTCAGCGTACCAATCTGTTCTTCCCAGAAATCTGTGGCATTGACCTTCTCTCGCAGGTGATTCACAGATATAACGTTGTTGTCACAGTCATAGGAAAGAAAATCATTTCCATCCAGCTGACCCTGAACCTTACACCGTGGTTGTCTGTTAGAGCTGATACTGAAATCATAGTGAAGAGAGTGAGCATCTGTGAAGGAAAAACACAGGTGAGGGTTAGGATTAGGTGACAAGGACCCAAGGTACCCTCTGTCTCATCGGTGACAGCAAGAGAATCCTCCCCGATGGCTGAGCTGGCAGAGCAAGAGCTGACCCTGCCCGGCCCCTCCTTTCATCGGTGGAAGGCTAGTAGTGCTCCTCCCTTGCTTGAGGAGAACAAAGAGTCCTCTGCCTGTGAAGAAACCAGACATTCCCAGATATGTCCCCTCTGTCCACCAGGCCAATACACATCATCAGTCAGCTGATAACTAATGAAAGGTTGCCTCAGGTAGCTCTTAAGGACAGGCCTAGATACAAGAGATGTCAGAAATGAGCCATATGCATAAGGAGTTAAAGAGCATGTAGGGTGCTTCTGAGGAAGCTGGATAATGGTGCGGGGTGGGGGTGGGGGGTGGATAGATCCCAAAGTTGGAGAAGGCACAACTGACAATTACAGTTCACAAGATTTAGCACAGACCTGGGAAATCGTGCTAACCTGCTACTCAGATGGATCTTGCAAGCTTGGAACAAAGCATTGGCCCCACTGCATAACATAAAGGAAAAGGCAGAATTTCTGAGGCAGGCAATAGAGGGAGGGATCAAATGGCTCAGAGAAGTGAATATCCTAGGGTAGATGTAATATGAAAAGGCAGAAAAGTCTCTAGTCAACCATGGTCCATGGGAAAGCCTGAAGATAAACTCTCGTTTCTCAAGCCTGTGAGGAAAGCATGAGAGAGAAGAGCACCAGAATTCTCAGAAAGCTCACTCGTGACTTTTGCTGAAGGTCAGGAGTGGGGGTCAGTGATCCCCAAATGGGCTTCCAGTAACAATATGGCTGGAAAATGTTGATATAATAGAGGCCGGGTGGAAGTTCTCTCTGTCAGGAGCAAAGTAGGTTTGGTGATCAAAATGAGTAGGAAGGTCAGAAATCCAGCAGGGGCCTCCCCCACAAAGAGCCATGACTCCGGCTCACAGCCCACGGTGATCCTACAGGCAAAAGGGACGGGCAGCCGACCTGGATACTTACTGCGGGACTTACATCTTGAAAACAACAAAGACGAAACACAAGGATGGTTGATCTACAGGCTGAGAGCAGCCTCCCAACAAAAGACTGGATCTTTTGTCCAGTTTCCAGAACTGAGCCGCTTCCCAAACCCGGAACCCAGGACCAAAAGGAGAGGCCAGGTTTCAATGAGAAAGGACCTTACAATGTCACACAACAAGGGCAACGTCCTTCCGGCCTTCCCCAAGGATCCATGTGGCCATTGACATAGGTAAACGTACTCTGGGAAGCAGAAACTACCATCCATTTATATTGAACCGAATGTGTGAGTTGACATCGTCCCCAAGGTTCAGAAGTGACCTCATGAGACCCTGTTCTTAACATGGTGCCTGGGGCTTGGGCCAGGTAATAAACAGGTCCTGTCCCAGGTCCTGCTCACGAAGGTGGTATGGGTCCATAGATCCACACAGCGGTCAAGCCACATTCCCCGTATTTTTAACAACAGTAGAAAATCTTTGTAGTTATTGAATTCCTTGCGGGCCAAGGACTACCATAGTAAGGAAAATCAGGTACAATCTTATCCAACTGCCTTCCGCTTTCTCTAAATAGAATGTTAAAACAGTGCTTAATCCTGGAGAAAATGAGAGCAATGAGTACCAACCTTAAGACGAATAAGGAGGCAGGACGTGATCCTTGTCCTATAGTCATTGAATAACAGTCCGGTCTGAAGACTTTCTGTAAATGGCTAGCTCCTAAATATTTTCAGCTACGCAGATCATAAGTCTCTTTGCAACTACTCGACTCTGCTGTTGTAGCCGGAAAGAAGTTACAGGTGATACATGAGAGAATGAATGTGGCTGGACCTGCCACTAGGGCCCTATGACCCCGCAGAATCTATGAATCTAGAGGTACCTGTGATATGACAAAGTGCTATGGGGACTTCGCGGCAACCCAATTGGAGAATCACATCACCAACCACTCGGGTCAGAATCGAGACCATGACACTTGCAACAGAAACATCCACACCATTTAAAGAAGTTCCCGGTAAAGCACCGGGGCCTGTAGATTGAGGCCTCTGGTTATGGGCTATCCCAGTGCCCATCATCAGTGTCATTAGGTCAGGCAGGCCCAGCGGTACCCAAAAGAGAAGTTACTTTCTGTCACTGAAATGAGCAGTGTCACAAGGAACAAATAAGAAGCAGGTTTATGAAGAACATAAATTAAAATGTTGCATTGCCACAAAAATCGACTCATAATTACGGCTTCATGAGATGTCTCTCAGAGCCCCCTTGGACTAAGAAATCCAGCCTACAGAGAGAGGGGGGCAGTGGCGCACACCTGTGGAACCCAGATCCTTTCGCATTCATTTCACCCAGAAGCTGCAGGAAGAATACCGCACAGTTCTGGTTCCTGAACACACATAACAGGCTCCCTGGGCGATGATTCCCCAGGGGAGGGGCACTCGTATCTGGGACACGCTATATGCACTAATGTGGGACCAGGAAACCAGGACAGTGACCAGATCTGGTTCCCCATTCATTTCTACGCTGTCCTTGGCTGCTTTCCCACTAGAAGCTGAAGGTGCGTGGTGCATCAGAGACAGGTACTAAGTGGCCTGCGAAGATCATAACACCCACTACATGCCCTTTGCTGCTGTGTCCTGAATGACCTCCTCCTCAGTAGGTGGAAAATGTGGGTTTGGACCGAAGAGTAGAGAAGAGTGACCTCCCTTCCCTGGGTTCTAGGGTCCTATTTGGAAACTGCTTCCTGTCCCTCTGAATGTGGACCTGACACTGCTGGGTTTCCTTAGCCAAGGGTCATAAAGTGCCACTAGGGGGAGGAAGTGACTAGGGTCTTCACACTCGGGGAGCACTGGAGTTCTTGGATCCCCATAGAACTATGGAATAAGGTGGCAGTAGCTGTGGCGGGACAAGTGACACCAGAGCTTCCCTGGGAAGGAAGGAAGTGGTAGTTTGCGGGCAGAACTCGCTGAGAAGTTCAAGGGCGGAGGGTCAGTGGGGAGGAAAGTCCTATGATGAGAGTAGGGACATATGGTTGTTCTTGGGTCGCGATCCTGCAAAAGCCCCCATGTCCTGACGTCCCGGGTCCCTGGGCTGCGGCTGCCGCCTCCCCAGAAGCGCCCGTGCACGGAAAGGGTGGGGGTGCTTCGGGAGAATGTGCTGCCGCTCCTCCTGCCCTCCCCTTTGCTCCTCCCCGCTTCCCAATTTGCCCAAAGGCACTTTTTCTCCATCTCAGTCGGTCTCTCGCCTGACTTCTTGCCTGAAGGGCGACAACCAGTCCCGGAGGTCGCCAAAGTGGAAAGGAGCCCCCGAAAGGATTGAGGAGGGGGCGGCCGCGCCACCCGATGGAAAGGTTCTCCAACCCGGTGGGAAAGCAGTCCCTGTGCCCCGTCTTAATGCCCCGACCCCTTTCCTGCCGCCTTCTTGCCCCTGCGTCCCACCGCCCCACTGCCTGTTACATCGCAACTCACCGGGGCGCGCCCAGGGACAGACCCACAGCAGAAGCAGGAGCTGGAGAAGATTCAACTTTGGCGCCATGGCCACGAGCGGCCGGCAGGGCGACGACCGCGGCAGGGAGTTTTATCGGAGCGGAGAGCTGGGAAAGCGTCCGGGGTGTTTCCACCTTCCTCCCTCTTCTGGCAAAAGCGACTTGTGTGGAAAAGTATTCTTTGACTGGAGGTCGCTGCTAGAGGGAAAGGTGCGTGGCTGAGGCTGAAGTCTCAGCGCCTGACAAGTGCCGATTGACGATGGACACGCAGGCGCATCGAGGCGAAGCGATGCACGGTATTAGCCCTCGTCGTAGCGCTGCCCGATGCTGACTCAGAACTCCTCTTCCAGACCTACTGGCCTCCTTGCTCTGCCCAGCTCTCCTGCGCGTGGCCTGCGAAGCACCCTTTTAAAGTCATGGGGCGGGACTGGGAAGAGTCATGGGGGCATGTCTGGGAGGAGTCATGGGGCCGGGACTGAGGGCGTGATGAAACACCAAGCAGCTGTGATTTCAGTTTCCAGATCACAAATCTCTTTGCCACTACTGGCCTCTGCTGTTGTAGCCACAAAAATGTTCCAGGGGCCGCTGGGACGGGGCAGACCCGGGGCCCTAGGGAAGAACTGAGACCCACGGGAGAACTCGAGCACTGTGTTGAAAGAGAAGAGTGTCCTTGGCAACAAAGAATTCAAATACATGACAAAGTTAGAGTCAAAAAGGAAGTTTTATTGAAGACAGTAACACTCCATAGACAAAGGGTGGTCTCCTCTCAGAGGCAAAGAGAGACTCAGAGAGACTCAGAGGGAAGAGACAATCCAGTCAGATGACGACAGCGGCAGAGACAGAGGAAGGCACTGAGGGGAGCCCCAGAGCGTTCAGTTTATAGATCATTCTTTAGTTCCTGTAAGTTAGAGTTTGAAGACTTTGTTTACCCGTTTGCCTTTGATTTGGACCAACAGTGAAGAAGGATGAGAGTGTGTAGCCTGAAAGACCAGATGGCAATTTCCACTGTCTGATCCCAAGGTTCTGCATGGTTTTAGCCTCAGGGAATGATTTTATTCTGGGTAGGGAGCCACTTAAAGACTGTCTTTCTCCTGTTTTCCCTTCATGTGTGGGAAATGGGTTGTTAGCAATCCCAGCAGAAATCTTTTCTTCTTGTGCAGATTTTCTCCTGGTCTGGCTATAGGGCCTGATCAGCTTCCTGCAGTCTCCGAATATAGCTTGACTTAACATTTTAGTTTTCTTGCCTTCTCCCTACATTACCCCCACACCCCCACACACCACTGCCTGGACAACAGGTCCCACTGCGGATTCCCCAGCCCCACCCCTCACTCAGTCCTGCTCCCAGCCTGCCACCATGCTGGG